AAAGATTTATTTATTTATGCATACAGAATTGGGTACAGGCCAGACATGCAGGGGTGGTGAGAGAGTTCACCAGAGACAGAGTAGAGAGCAGAATAGGCAGATCCACGAAGTACACTGCTGAGAGGAGCAGCAGGTGGGTCAGGAGAGGTCTGCCACACCATGTGAGTCACCTCCCTGGTGGGTATCTAACTCACATTGAAGAGGCTGAGGCTTGCTTGCAGTGCTGTATCCCAATCCATTGCACCACCAGGGAGGGTCACTTCTGTCATTTATAAACAATATAATTAATTGAACTGCCCTTCCACCTAAAACTTAGCAAAGTAATTTTTTAAAAAGTATTAAACTAATTAAACATGCAAACCATTTAATATAGCACGTGGTCAATAGTAGATGCTCAACATTAGTTTGATAAATTTATTATTTAAATGAGATAGTATCTTGTAAATTTATACCTGAAATTAGACAAGCATGCATGCTTAGCTTGGTGTATTTAAGACTTAATAGTCAGTCCTAAAATTTTGTAAAGTAAAAGTTATTAGGAAAATAGTAAAAAGTACAAAGGTAAGAAAAGTTAACTAAAATCAAATTAGCCAGTGACAAAAAAAGCCAATATTCCATTTATTTGATGCTGTTAAAGTCAAAGGAGTCTTAGTAGGTGACATCAAGATACACACTTATTTTCAAAGCAAGGGAAATCTTTAATTATTTATAATTATTGATAAACTACAAAATAAGTAAGGGTACAAATATACATGATTTGTTAACTGCTTATTTAGTATCATTGATCTTACAGTTATGGCACTTTTCTGAAAAAGGAAAATGTATGCTTCAAAAACTTCCATTTTTTTCTATACATGGAAAACATACATACTATGAATTATTCGCTACCACTTTGAAATCATCTGAAATTGCTACTAACATCAAATTTTGAACTTAGATAAACCAAACAGAGAATCAGACAAAGCCAAATGGTAACATTGACCCGTAAAAGCAGACTTATGTCTGAGATATTCAGGTGGGGAGGACAGAGAGGGAAGGGGCAGATTAGAGAAGAGGGCTTAGGAGAACTGATACTTTGTGAGCACTCTGTTGATGGAAACTCTGGTTATTGTACGTGAAAGGAAAAATCCTATATTTGAAAATATAAAGATGTTTAAATTTTTTAAAATATAATACCAAATCAGTTCTTGTAACCCCAAGTAGTCCACGGTTCAGCAATATCAGCTTAACCTAAATTTGCAAAAATACAGATGAATCTTATCTGAGACCCACTGAATAAAAAATTCTACAGCCTTGTAACATGTATATAAATATTATGTAACACATATTCACTTTCTATATGAGAAGCAATGTTTTCAACAAAACAAAAAGAAACTAAGCTTAGTGGGGTTGCAAATATTTTGAGAGATGATTCAAATAGAAAAAACATAGTTTGGGTCAAACTAATGGTGTCCTTATATGTTATTGTTTTGCTTGAATAAATGCAAAGCATAACATAACATAAAACATAACAATACTGACACTTTGTTGCATGTGATTATTTCAGTGTTCTTGGCAGTTATTGGTTTACTTTTTGCTTGTTATTGGTAGAGCTATAGATAAGAAACATATCATTTGAAGATCTCTTAATATTTGACCTTGGCTTATGAATAATCATAGAAATTCATACTTAAATCCAAAATTGATAAGATATAAAGTTCACATATATTCATCAACTATTTCCCACTGAGTACAGCATTGCAAATGTTAAATTTAAGATACTTTAGAAAATATTGTAGTGATACTACTCCGCTATTAAAAAAAGATAAATTCTTGCCATTTGAAACAAAATGGATAGAACTGGCGGGGTTAGATATGGAAAACAAGAACAAGATAATGTGTATAAGGTGTGATATGGAGAAACCAACGAAGAGAGAGAGCCAAACCAGTAACACAGCGTAGAAATCTGACTGTAGACCTGACCTGCATCTAACAAAGCAGGAAGAGGTGAGAAGAAAGTGGGAAGGGAGCTCAGTGCACTGGGCTAAAGGGATACAGGTGTCTTGGTGGGTGTGGTATAGTGAGATTATCTACCTCTAGAGCACCCACAAGTTGTACATCAATAGTACCTCAATAAAAAATGTAAACCAATGCATATGATTGTGTTATTTGTGTAATTCTTATTAAGATAAAAATAATAAAATATTTGATTTTTTCCTAATGGAAATTGTTTTATATCTCAAAAGAGAAGATAGACATAGAATATGAAAAACTATGTTTTATGGTTTTTAATTCACTGACTCTCTATCTTCCTTTTGGGGATTAATAAAAGTAAGGAAATAATTAGTTAGAATATATTATAAGATGTATTCATTCATCCATATATTCATTAAGCAGAATTTTTAAGTGCTACTTATTAGTAATTGGATCCCTGGCTACATGACTCTAACATTCCAATGGGGGGAGTTGAAGAGAGATAATAGATAAATAAATTAAAAGGGTGATTATAGGTTGAGATATTAGGAAAAAACCTTTTGAGAAAGTGTTTTTTGAACTAAGACCTAAAGCATGAAAAGTTTCCATTTGTAGGGCATGCCAAGCTTGACTTTCTGGGGAAAAAAAAAAAAAAAAGTGCTGAAGACCATAGCCTACTAAGAGAAGCCTATGCAGGATTCCATTAAAATGAGAGAGAGGGGGCCCTCCCTGGTGACACAATGGGTTAGGATGCAGCACTGCAGGCCGGCCACAACAGCTTCAGTGCAGGTTCGATCCCAGCCCCAGAGGTGATCCACATGGCGTGGCAGATCTCTCCTAACCCTCCCACTGCTCCCCTCAGCAGTGTACTTCATTGATCTGTCTGTTTTGCTCCCCACTGTCTGTGGTGAAGCCTCTCGCCATCCCTGCTCCTCCAGCCTGTACCCCAGCTCTGTGTGAGTAAATAAATAAAACTTAAAAAAAAGAACAAAAAAAATTATAAAAAGAGAGAGAGAGGTAAGCTATAGATCTATTCAGAGCTTGTATGTTGTTATAATTGTATTTTATTCCACGTGCAATAGAAAGCCAGTGAGGAATTTGTAAAAGGGCAGTACAATGATGATATATGCTATGAAAAAAAAAAAATCTGTCCTGGCTAAAGTATGAGAAATACATTGTTGAAGGAGTTTTAAGTAGGATGAGTGAGAATAGGCAGAATGTTTTGTATCATTCTAATGATGGATGAAGATAGTTTCCCCTGGTAAAAGGAAAGGGCTTTGTGGATTAGTCTTATGTTTGGGTGCATAATTATCATGGAAAATGAAGTTATTGAGAAATATTCCTACATTTCTGATATGAGTACAAAACAAATATGTCAATTTTGTTGTTTTAAGATTTTATTTATTTATGCATAGAGAAATGGGGTATAGGCCAGAGATTCAGGGGCAGTGAGAGGATTCACCATAGACAGAGTAGGGAGCAGAACAGACAGATTGACTGAAATACACTGCTGAGTGGAGCAGGTAGCAGACAGAAAAGGTCTGCCACACCATGTGGAATCAAACTCTCACTACAGAAGCCACAGCTTGGCTTAATTTGTCAATGCAGCACTCCAACCCGCTGTGCCACCAGGGAGGACCCCAGATGTGTCCATTTCTTAGGAAATGAAGGGAGACATAGGAATGTCCTTAAAAAAATCATAATTTCATTTGGACTAGATTTATAAGGTCATAGGTACCTGTGAGAGAGAGAGAGTGGGCTCTAGAAAAGCTTCAAATCCTATTTGATTACTGGCATTGGATCTGAATAATTTAATTAAATTGTGCTATTTCTCTCATCTCTACACAATGAAAAAGTAATGCCTACTTTGAGTAACTATAAGTATTAAGTTTGCTAATCCTATAAAATCATAAGAGAAATCCCTGATACCTTGTTAGCAATAAAATAATAACTCTCCACTGTTATTATTGGTCACACAAATAACAACATCAAGTGAAAAGCTACCATATACATATGAAGTTTGAGGGAGAAGCTGATTACTATTTTATAAGGAATTATATCTCATTGCACTTCTTTTGAGTTAATGAAATCTATCCTTGCATAGATGTCACTATTTTTGTTTGTTTGTTTGTCCATTTATCTTTCTCTGTGTCCTTTATCTTTCTCCTTCCTTGTAGATTGCAGCGGTAAAGTTGAAAAGTAGCATAAGAAGGAAAAATTTATCAAGAAAATGGAAAAGTCATGGTATAATTTGAAAAATAATAATTGATTTCTCTTTTTCAACTTTATATTCACTGTATAGGTTGATTCAAGTAGTTCATTGTGTTTAATTTTTTTGTGTAAATGTACCATTACTACTTTTGATAATAAACTTTCATTTTTTTCAATAGTTGTTGAATACTGAAACTACAATGAATAACTTGTGCAGACATTATTGTCATTTTTTTCCTTTTAAATGACAGATTTATTGAGACAGCAGAATTTTTTTTTCAATTAGATGTTTTTTCTTCTATAAAAGTATGTTATAAAAAATTGCAATTTTGCTTTCTGAAATTGAAGTTAGAAATCTTCACATTCATTCCTGCAGCTAAGTAACAGTTTCATTTATCTTATCTATCTAACAAAAAAGAAAAAAATGTAATGAATATCTAGTTGATAGATACTTTGTTATGTTATGACAATTCCCAAGATCAACCCTGTGGCCTACTTTGCTTTCAAGGTGCAAAACTCACAATGTGTGATGTGGGTTAATCCTTTTATAAGGTAGCTGAAAACTTTATAAACAGACACAATGTACTATGGGAGAGGACTGCTGGCGTCTTAGTGGTGGTGTGGTGTGGTAACACATACCTAAAGGGTATGACCCTGTACCTCTAAATCATACTGTGCCATAAGCTAATATTACCTTAACAACAACAATAATGAACAAAAACTGAAGGAAAAAACAGGTGTTATACAAATATGAATTATTGCTATAATGGTCGTTAATATGTGTGAGCCTTCCAAAAACAAGCGTCATTTTTCCTTTCACGTTTTTTTTTTTTCAGCCGTGAAGCAAGATTGTGATAAGAAGCTCAAAACAGAGCACTGCAAGTGGCAACCACCAGCATGAGACCATCAAGCCAATCTGGTAAGTGGATAACATGATTTATAGATGTTTTTTCCTGTGTCTGATTAAATCTGTTGATACTGTTTCTTATGCAAAACATCCTTATAGTTTGCAAACAAAAATGAGAATACTTTTACAGTGTAGCCAATGAAATTTATTCTCAGGAGACCTTAGGGAGATAGTATTCTGTGGGAAAATTTACCAATTTTATTATAACAGATAGTTTTAAAGTAACTATATAACATTATAAAGTTGTTTCCTTATTGAAAAAAAAGGGAATTATAATAGTTGTATTGTTTTGTTAACTAAGAGTTAGAAATTGCATATGGGCAATCAAGTAGTTCCTTAGCATAGCAAATAGCTTTATAAAAGATTGCTATTTATTGAATACTTGCCACATGCCAGGAACTAAATATTAAATAATCTATTGCATTATTTTATTGAATACTCAAAGCAACCCTTAAAGTTAGACAATATTATTGTTCTCATTTTACAGCTGAAGAACTTGTGTTATTAAAAAATTATGTAAGTTGCCTTTAAATCACACACTACTCCTTTCCTTCATTTTTTTTAATTCAGTCTGTCTTTTGCCAGAGTTTCTCTTCTTGCATGTTTTCATGAAGTCAACATTTATTGTGAATATATAAATGACAGGATTCTGTTAACTGAGATACTGTGCTGTTCCCAAATGAATAGTATTTAAAATAGGATAACTATATAATTATAGGAAGTCTTTACAAGCAACTTATGAATAAGTAATTTTATTTTTATTCACATTTTCTCTGTGAAAGCCAAAATACTTATATATTTACAGATGGATAAATTGAGGTCCCAAAAGGTTACTAGGCTTGCAGAATTTCTTAAAGCTTCATGCTATTCTGTAGTCAAGGGTCAGTTTATTTTGAATTCCTTTCACACTGAATGTTTTTTATAAATTTACTACAAATGAATTACAAGTGAAACGAAGTTTAAAAGATACAAATTGCTCAAGTCCACATATTTATTATTATATTTGTTATTATTTGTAGATATAAAATTACTTATAAAATGCTATAAAAGATTTTACTGCTGTCTCTCAATGTCCCTTCTGCTGTGGTGCAGACAAGTTGGTATCTGTATAGACCAGAGAGACATTAAACCATGTAGCCCCACAGCACGTAGAGGAAAGAAGTCTAACTCTCATTCTTAGATCTTCCAGACTCTAGTCCAGTTCTTCCCATCCATAGTGCCTCAACATATATCAACAAATCTGTTGTATGGTCTAAGGTACAAAAAGACCAAATTCTCAATTGTTCAGATGACACATGAGCAGGAAATTGCCAATGGCAAAACATTTTATTTATTTTATCTTTTTTTTCATTGCCTGGAGGCCATTGAATATCTTTCTTTTAAAATCTTTTTTTTTTTAGTTTTATTTATATATCTATTACCATTATTGTTCATTTTAAAACAATGTTTATTTCCTCCCTCCTCCACTTCGCTCACCTGTCATCACCATAGTCCCCCACATTCCTCCTTCCATGCAATCAAAAAATTTCAGAGTTATGTGAAATAACATTTAGAAAGGCTCCCTGGTGGTCTAGGGCTTAGGTCTCAGCGCCAGTGCTAATATGATGTGAGTTCCATTCCCAGTAGGAGCTAACTCACACATGGCACAGCATGTGCCTTAGCATGTGCCTTAGCTTACCTCTCCCGCCTTAGCTGTTGCTCCCCTTACAGTGTACTTCAGTAAATCCATCTATTATGCTCCCCACTCTGTCTCTAATGAATCCTCTCACTCCCCCATACATCTGCCTACATCCTAGTTCTTCTACACAATAAGTATATACATACATAAATAAACAAATAATTGAATGCATGATGCCTTTAAAATAAATAAAAAAGTGAAAATCCTCACTGTAGGTTTATGGATTTGTTACAGGGTAACCTCAATATGAAATAGTTTGGCCTGAGTGTAGGTCCTCACCCACACATGGCTTTATAATGAGAGTTAACTGTAGGAACACTAAAAAAAAAAAGCTTATTTACTAAAGGGAGATATGAAGAAACAAAAGTCTAAAAAGTTAGTGAATATGTCCTACCAGTTCTGCTGAGTCAGAACTCCAATAGCATGCTGAAAACTGGTGAAAAATCCAGGACCTCCAAGGCTCTCATATATAGTTCTATACCAAACCTGCCTGCTTAACTCCACTCTTAGTTCCAAGCAATCCTCCCTTCAGCATTAATAACATTATAAACTTTGTAGTCCTTGATGTCTTAAATCTCTTAGGTCTTGAGTAGAGATGGGTTCCACAGAACCTATTTATGAAAACATCCTTTCTCCTCAACAGAATGATTTATTTTAAAGTTATTGATAAGAGATCAAGACAATGAATTTGTGTGGGATTTATTATTGAGAGACTTTCTCAAGATAGTTTTTTTTTTTCCTCTTTTCATTCTATTATTCGAAAAGAGAAGTTAAATTGTATTTAGGAGACTGAATCCTATCAGTTTCCAAGAAGGAATGCAGACCCTGTATAATTTTAAGAGATATAAGTGGTCAGCCAGGAAATGAAAATGAACTCATCTCTGTAATACATTGAAGGGGCCTAGAAATAATGTTACCTGCTCATTTCAAAAGCTTACAAAGAAAATTGCGGTATTTTTGGCACAAAGTATAAAATGTACTTTGAGTCAGCAATGAAAATTTACTTTTTAAGATGGTTTTGTGACTTTTTCAGTATTACTGAAATTGATCCAAATATTTACATGTGCTATTTTATTAATAACTATCTGGCCACCTGTGTCAAAGTAATATTGCACAGATGTTTAGAAATAACTCTTGGTTGTGAGTAAATATTATAGGAAGATTGAATTTTCTCCAAATGATGCTGATGGAATTTTTTTTATCATATTTTAAGATGTCAAAAATAGTTGTGGTGGTTGTCTCAAAGTTCTTCAGATTTTCAGTGTTTGATGCAGATTAAAATGACTGTAAGGGCACAGAGAAAGATAAAAATTTATGACAGCATTAAAAACTAAGACATTCAGCCAATCTATTATTAGCTTCTGGGAAGACTGTGTTGCTAAATTGAAATTCACAATCTGAAGTAGAACAAATGTATGACCTTAGATCATACAGAAGGATGCTGTTCCTCACTTAGGTTCTGCTAGTGGTATCACTCAGAAGTTGAGCAGTCATACCTGGGCACCTCTCTTTAACTGAAATCTTTATATCTACATAAATTTGAGGTTTATCTCTCCTCCTTTTTTTTAAAGATTTATTTATTTATGCACACAGAACTGGGGTACAGGCCAGAGTTACAGAGTGAGAGGATTCACCAGAGACATAGTGGGGATCGTAACAGGCAGATTGATGAAGCACACTGCTGAGGGGAGCAGCAGGAGAGACAAGAGAGGTCTGCTGCGCCATGTGGGTCACCTCCAGAGCCAGGGACCAAACTCCCACTAAAGTGGCTGTGGCCATCTTGCAGTGCTGTGTCCTAACACGTTGCACCATCAGGGCCTTTTCTCCTTTCTTAACAAAAAAAAAAAAAAAAGACGAAGAAGAAGAAAGTTAAAATTTAGATTAATTCATTGTACCCAAAACTTAAAAAGACAGAGAAAAAGAGTACCAACAGTCATTGTGGCTGTGGTAATAATAGGTGGTAATAAGGAGAGGACAGACACAGATAGGGTATGTGTGTAATATTCTGTCAGATCAGGAATCAGGATCAGATAACCAGGGTGGGAAGAGATGCTCTACTAACTTTCTAGCAGAATTGTTTTATTTGAATGCCTATTGCTTATTAGAATTTGGACCTGAGATTGTTCACAACCTGAGATTCAACACTGCTAAAAACCAAGATATCAGTACTACCAAGAGCTAATTGTCAGTCTTATGACTTGTCTGTTGAAAAACACTATCCTTTAATAGGTATTTATCACATTCTCAGATAAGGAAACAAACATTAACAACATACCATCAAAGGCAAACAGGACCTGGATAATGATTGTTTGACACAGGACAAGTAAACTTCAGAGTGGAAGCATATGTGGAACAATGTGTTAACTCATGAAGAGAAAAATATTTTAAAAAATAGCTTTTCATCCTTATATATATATTGATTAACTTAGAAATAAAAGTTGTAGGTGCTGAAGAAGTTGAAATGCAAAGGACTGAAAGGGCAAATAAAAATGTAACAAAAGGATTAAATCTACCTTTGGCAGCAACAAATAACATAAACTATAGAAAGTAGCCCGAGCAAGCACTCTTGGAATACAGAGTACAAATACTACTAATACATTGTGTATATGTGTGTAAATTCTTCATGCTACTGTAGTCACTCTTCTGTTCACCTTTTCTTGTCTTCCTTTATCAATTTTGATGATTTGTGTTAACCTAGAAAAACAATCAATGTTGATTAATTGTCCATAGGTGAATCTACATATAGAAAAAAATTTAAAAAGACTTGAATCAATGCAACAGTGGAATATTTAAGTAAATTTTAGTTTTCTCTTGAATCTCATCATGTTTTCTATCATATACAATTATACCTCATCTTTTAAATAATAAAATCAACTGTACTTAAAAGAAGTGAACAAATAATAAGTGAGCAGCTCAATACATGATCACAAAGTCAACAAACCTGTGTGACATCTACTAAAATTAGAAAACACCAAATAATACACATAGTTGAAGGTGTTATTTTTTCCTTCTGAGTCATAAATTCTATAAGGTGGCTGTGTTTCTAAACTCTAATAGTGTAGGATTATTTCATGTTTGTTTTGTTATGTGGCATTTTGTTATCAGTATTTTTATGTATTATTTCTAAACAGTAATTAATTTTCAATGCTATATACTATTCCATAATGGCCAATCCATGGGTCTTACATTCTGTTACATGTCTTTTATGACATGTATGTACTTATTTCTGCTGGATGTGTAATTACTTGCACATGTCTTATATGTTCACTTTTAGTAGATACTGCTGATTGCCCCAAATAGTGTACTAATTTGTAATCCCACTGACGGAATAGAT